GGGTAAATGATGACGTGGATAGGTCCTCGGTGTCCTCTTAGCTTGTCCCGGTAATGATGTCCTTACTGAAGAAATAAAATATTCATTAAATAAGTTAGCAATTTTTTCATGATGAGAAACAAGAAGTCCATTTACTGAGATTTGTGAATTGTTATTAATTGTTTTATTGTTACTTTTAAATTGGTAAGTTATTAAAAATAAAAGAATTGCAGTGCTGTTTATTCTTTCTTTCCTTACTTCAAATTTTTTAAAGAAGTGCTCGAAAAGAAAAGTAAAACAAGGGGTCAAAATACTGAAATTGTTATGTTGAATTAATAATCTTAATAATGTCATTTAAAGGTAGTCTTTGTTGTTTTTTTAACCTGTTAAAGAATCCCGTGGTGATGAAGAGTCTGAGCTGCCTGAGGGAATATGTCGATGACCTCAGCAACGTGTACACCACAGCTCTGCTGGCATACGTCTTCACCTTGGCAGGAGATACAGAGACACGTACAAAACTTCTAGAACACCTTGACTCGGTGGCAAAACGAGAAGGCAAGTCATCTTCTCAAAGTCAAACAATCAGAGGAGTCATTCGCTTTACTGTAGTTTACATTGTTTGGACTGTTTCCTGACAAATGTTTCTAGGGGACCTCCTCTACTGGAGTCTGTCGTCAAAAAAATCCTCCTCTCTGAGTGTGGAGACAACCTCATATGTGCTGCTGGCCAGACTCAGTTCCTCTGTCTCTACTGCCAGTGACCTGACGTGTGCCTCAAGCATCGTTAGGTGGCTCATTGGACAACAGAACTATCATGGAGGCTTTTTCTCTACTCAGGTACTGTGCAGCCTCAAAAGCTGCATACTGCACCCTTATTTGCATGTGAAAGTTTGAAATGTGATACTGAAAATGTAGCCTGATTTTCTTTAGAATGAGCTCCCAGTTTATTGCAGTTTTATTTACAGGTTGCCAGGGCTAGCGGGAGGGAGTGGGGGGAGCGTGGGCTGAGCTCCAGTGCGTTTGTGTGTCTGATGTATCTGATAATCTGTCTTACCCCATTTAATTTTGACAATCAGTGTTATTGCAGAATTATGACTCAAAGTCTTATCAGAAATGTAATCCAGAAAGCTGTGTAGCTACCTGGCATTTCCAGGGGATTCTGATGTTGTCAGTCCATGAAATGGACGTTATTAGGCGTTATCAGTCCCATACAATGGCTTCAGAGGGTCCCTACTGTGCATTCTAAGCTTCAGACTGTCCCGAAAGTGCCCCCTAGTGGGTTAATATATCAATGACAATGAATGTGTAAATAACCAAAAGATAATAATACAATTTTTGTGTCTGTATTGGACTCAATCCCTGGTCTCCCGTCCTCTGGTCCAACACTCTACCCATTGCCCTATTGGAAGGACACAATATTCAACCATTAGAATATTAGCCTTTAGCTAACATAGTTAGCCTTTAGCGCTAACTATGTCATTTGCTCTAAAGTTAACCTTAGTGGATTTAAGCTTCATATTAACCAGATAGTGGTTTTATGCCTCATATTAACCAGATAGTGGTTTTATGCCTCATATTAACCAGCTGACATTCTGAAGCCATTCTATGGGATTGATAACGCCTAATAACGTCCATTTCATGGATGATAACATCCGAAGTGGGTGGCATTTCTCTGATTGGATGTTAGACCAGATTTTTCTTTATGAGACACAACCTGGAGGGAGAGAGAAAAAAACATCTTGTGCTCAAATAAGCTGCAAATTGTAAGATTTATGTTCATATTGATTTAGGAAATTAGTGTCCGCCCCATTAAAGTTATAATTGGCACATGCTACTGTAGTGATGTTCCACGCACATGGCGCATCATTGTGGGAAAAGAGTTTTTAAAACCAGGATAAAAACAGCATTCATGTGTGCAACAAGTGGAAATGATCAGTCTGAGTTGGTTTTTTCATCTCGTGCTGCTGCTGTTTTTATGATGACCCACAGCCCGAGTACATGTTCTGTGTGATAGACAGGAATGACTTTATCGGTTCTGATTGCAGCCCGCACATGTGTAGGACTTGCAACGCAGGAATAAAAACAAATTCACAGAAAAATAGGTGGAGATCAATTGTTTTGGGCAAAGTGAGCGGTTTATCCAATTCCAAATGAGCCAGGATATTTTTTGCGGTCTTGTTACCATGAAAACATATATGCCTCCTTGTTTGTGCAACATATTCAATGCTTAATTAATACAGGTTTATACTAAAATCTACTGAGCCCCTAAAAAGACATGGATTGGGAAAAAAAACAACCCATCTCGTTCCCACGACTTAGTAAGTCATGCGCATGAGATACCTCACAGGATCTTTCAGATCGTTTTGGACCAGCTGTGTGTTTACTGAAATGGAAATGTGTGACATAAGTGAGGTTTAGTTCCAGTTTTGCCTGAAATACAAACAGGGCTGTGTTACTTGGTCTCCGATCAGTGCTGCAGCTTGGTGACAGTCCCAGAGCCTTTCCACCCACGGTTCCTGGATGTTTACAGTTTCCTTAACAAAGGGGTAGTTTTACTAAAGCTATCCAGCTGAAAATAAATAAAATCCACATTAAACATTTAGGAGGTCTACCGCCTAGGTTGGAAGGCACGTATCAACATGCCTGATAATATGAATTTAGGCGCAGTGAGTGTAGATCCTCCTCCGGGAGCTGAAGCGGTCGGCTCGCTGTCCTTTGATAGGGGAAAGCAGTCGATCTGCTGCACTGAGATCCAGGCTGTAGCAACGAGGCTTCACAAGACAGCAGATCTGTGGCATCACACATCACATGACACTCATCAGCTTCATCTTTACACATGGAGCAGGTCTACATATAAAGGAGGAGGTGTCTTATTGAATCTAAAATAAATAAAAGTTTCCCATCTGATCATCATTTCAGATGATCTAGACACCATCCTGAATGCATCTGCAGGAGGTGAGACAGCGCAGTGAAGAAGGACAGGATTGCGCTCGGCCCTGGAGCGCGTCTCTGAGGCACAAGGCACAGCGCGAGTGCGCTGCAGATGTAAACTCACTGTGCATAACTTGAGATTTTCCTTAGAGTTTTTTTTTAATTATTAGACTTTTTATTACAAAAATCAAATCCACGTTCTATTTCTGTTTTTATTTAACAATATTTAACACTGTGGCAGCGGCGCATTGTGATTAACAACTGACTGCATCTCTGCCTTCATGTTTTTCCCTCTTCTCTCGTCCTTCTGCAAAGGAGGTAGAGACAAAAATAAGGAGGCATAATGTTGCAAACTGCAGCCACTAAATATGGTGGCTACAGTTTCTCCAGTCAAAGTGAGAAATCAGCAAGACTTTTTATCCAAATGCCACAAGCTGTAGCAAGAGGAAATCCAGCAGCACACTCGCGCTGTGCCTTTGTACCTCAGATACCCTAACCATCCCCAAGCTGATGTTCACTGATCGAAGAACAAGTAACACAGCCCTGTTTGTATTTCAGGCCAAACTGGAAATAAAGCTCAATTATGTCACACATTTCTATTTCAGTAAACACACAGTAGGTCCAAAACGATCTGAAAGATCCTGTGAGGTATCTCGTGCGTACGACTTACTAATTCGTGGGAACAAGATAGGTTTTTTTTTTCCAATTCATGTCTTTTTAGGGGCTCAGTAAAAATCCGACTTAAAGGCACAGTTTGTAGGATTTTGTCAATTCTTTTAGCCGAAATTGAGATAATCACTAATGACAATAATAAAAAAAAACATGTCTAATCATTGCAGACAAAAACCTTGTTTTATTATTTTTACCTTATAAAAAGCTGTTTATATCTCCATGGTTACGGGTCGCCACTACAGGCAGCCGCCATCTTGTCTACGAATCTTGTCTACGAAGGCTCATGAAGGACAAACTGCGGTGGCGGCGTCAAAAACAGTTTTAGTTGTAAAACTATAAATGTAATATTTGTTGTCTGTCATTGTAGATGGGATAATTTTACTTATTAAAGCTCATAATCTTACCACTTGAAACATCACTAGCCCTGAAGCTGCTGGTAGACATCGCGGTTGGAATTATCAAAGGTTTTTGACACCTGAGAGACACCGTAGCAACTCCTTTGTGTTTGGAAGCGGGGGGGGGGGTGGGGGTGGGGGGAGGACCAGGGAGGATGATTCAATCACTCAACCACTAGATGTCACTGAAAACAACAAATCCTACACACTGTGCCTTTAATCCCTTATTTTAGTTTTGTGCAACAGGCCCCAGAACATGGAGATGCCACAGTTTTTTTTGTTTAGTTTTTTTAACCTCTAAACTTCTGTGAGCTTAACTAACAGTTTTATATGTGTATTGAGGATCCAAAACATGAAGTGTTTTTTCTGAAAGTTGATGTTTGAAAGCACAAGCATACGTTTTGTTTAAAGTATTTGCCTTATTTGTATTGTCTATTGTCTGTCATTTTTTCTGTAGGACACTGTGGTCGCTCTTAAAGCTCTGGCTCGATATGCCTCTCAGTCCAGTTCAGGTGCTTCAGGCTTGGTCACAGTGTTAACTCCTTCTGAACAACTGGTATTTAAAGTGAATTCAGAGAACAAACAAGTCTACCAAGAACTGATGCTGAAGGACCTGAAAGGAAAGTACTGGATAATGGCAGAGGGCTATGCATGTACTTCAGTGCAGGTCAGTGACAGCAACCACGTGGTGTTTTATAATGAATAACCTCTGACTATTTAAAAAAGTGATGCACAAATATAAAAAATTTCAGCTGACATTGATTTCCAATATTATTATTGAGGTTATGGCCGATAATTGATATGTACCAATATTACACACACTCACAAATTTATATATACACACAAATACACTTGTCTTTTTTTGATACTGTAAAAAATGATGTGACTGCTGACATGGCTCTACTTCACTATCACGATCAGCAGACACCACTCGACCAACCATCTCTCCTCCAGAAACACAAAGCTAAAAAGTGGGAAATCAATATCGGATACTAATATCGGCCCAGTTTTAATCAAGTCGAGTCAAATTTTATTTATATAGCACATTTACAACAACCTCCGTTGACCAAAGTGCTTCACAGCATTCACATCACATTTAGCTAAGGATAAAGCAATATACACACACACACACACACACACACGCACGCACGCACGCACGCACGCACGCACATAAAATTACGATAACACTGAAATTTGTTAAAAAAGATGAAAACAATTACAGATACCAAAAAATAGTAATGCAAAGAAAAACAAAAAACATACTTAAAATAAGTTGCAGCAATTTCCCATTTACTCAAATCAAATTAAGTACAAATTTTCATTTTAACTAGTGTTAAAGGCCAGGGAGAACAAATGCATCTTCAGTCTGGACTTAAACTAGCTGCATTTCCATTGACCATGAAAATGTGCAAATGAGAATTTTGAAAAGAAATTTGCTCAATGGAAACATGTCATTTTCAAAAAAGTTAGGTTTTTCGACAAAATGTTTTTGCTCTAGGATGAGGTGGTTTTTCAGTCGTATCTAAATTGGTGTTTTTCACAAAACTACAATGGAAACACTTTTTTTCACATCACAGGAGTCATGTGATCAACAACCAGCTGTTTCTACTGGTGAAAAAGACGATGATGAAGAAGATAACAGGAAGTAGAAGTAGTAGTAATATCACAGAAGTAGTATAAAATAGTAAACTCAGCGACTACAATTTCCCAAAAACACAGCATACGTAGCCGCTCCCAAGTAGGGCCTTG